CATTCTGGCTTCACGTATCAGAACTCTGGTTCCTTGGAATGCAAGGTAATTTCATTAACACAATCTCACCAACCCTCTACCCCCCCCCCCCCCCTGTACACACATTCCACCCACCCTAATGTGTTACAATTTGAGATAACATGCATGTGGTAATACCATAAAAACTTAAAATTTTAACCAAGCTTCAAAGCAGTGATTGCCACTATGACATATCATGTCTGATATTGGTGATCTACCCAACATATGAAAACCACAAAAACATGATGAAATCATGACATTTCAAAATAAAACTCAAATATCCTTCATATTTGAGTGATCATAGTGTACTTGTTGCTAAATAATTTCTACTCACAAAGATAGCAAAGTCTTTTGTGTGAATAGATAAAACTACATGTACATTTCAACTATTATCTTTGTATAAGTTGTTGAGACTTGCATATTAATAATTGTCAATCACTTTTTTGAAAAAAAAACAAACAGATTGCAGTTTCTCAGTGCCAAATAAACATACTCCTACTTTTACTATTCTGGAATCAATTTGCGATACATTTCTTTGTGATCACCAATAAATAAATATGTATGGTGGAATCTATTGGCAGTATGCAGCATTCTGATTGGCTTAATAACATTCTTGGCTGTTTTTAGTAGAACAACTAGTACATACATGTATAGAATGCATTTTTGACATATTTCTAGAAATACTAATGCTGTAAAGAAATGGTTAGTAATCACTTCCGTTTTAATTACTAGGCCTTGTATATATACAAGCGTGTATTATCACATTATTTTGTTTTTGAATACGGAGAAAAACAAAGCATCCCCTGCAATTAGTGATGCCTTTAGTTGTCAATAGATTTGATTGTTGTACACACAGATTGGGTTCTCCATTGCCTATCACCATACATACCGTAGATATCAATATTACATATACATTTTGTACCTTGATCTCATATCTCATAAATATATTATATTACCTGAATGTGCACATTACTTTGTCATCCACAGTTTCTTTACGGAGATTAATTCACACCATTGTTTGTTGCAGATTTAAGTGGAAACATTAAATCTCTGAATTGGATTGCCAAAGCTCTAATGGAACAAAATTGGTTAAGAGATATTTTGCAGATGTTAAAACAAGTACATAGTGAGTACATGTGTGTCAAATATATGATTGAAATGTGATTGCTTATTATTATTATTCTTTATTTCGAGAGCCAGCTCATACAATTTAAAAGTACAACATCCAAGGAGTGAATAACTAAGTTAAGATACTACAATGATTAAAACATTCTCCAACCAACTATAAAAATATTCTGCTAAATCTGGTTACATTTACACGTAATATAGTTGCAATCAATGTATTGCTAATAGTGAAAGTGAGCTTCCTTCTCGCTTCAAACAAAGAAATTCAATTATAACAAGCCATGCATGGCACAGTCCCCGTTAGTTATCAAATTTAAGATATATAGTTTTGTTTATAGTAGTATAGCTGGAATATAACCATGTCAGGAATATGATTTTTTAAAATTAAAATGATTGACATTTGTATCAGATCGTCAAACAAGTACTTGTCCATATTGAGAGATATTGCTCTGGTACAGCATTCAAAATCAACCATTTTGAATACTTGTATATATATATATAACATGATGTATAACGAATATATAAAATTTAAATATAATAAGACAAACCATTTAAGAGATATGGCTCTAGAAGCCCAATCATTAAAACAAAATGGCCACCAGTCAGCCATTTTGAATCCAATCTGAAAAATAAAATCACGAGCATCAGGAACCCGTAATGTCTAATGTATGTACCAAGTTTGAACGAAATCCACCCATAAATGCTTGATATTTGATTATTTTTTAGGTAAAAAAAAATGACCACCATTCGGCCATTTTGAATAGGATAGTCAAACCAATATATCTGTATCTATGACATGATGTATAATGAATATTTCAAATTTGAAAATATTATCAGTCAAAACAAGTCAAAGATATGGGTCTAGAAGCCCAGTCATTAAAACAAAATGGCCATCAGACAGCCATTTTGAATCCGATCTGAAAAATAAATGATGTCATCAGGAACCTGTAATGTCTAATATATGTACCAAGTTTGAACAAAATCCATTCATAAATGCTTGATATTTGATGATTTTTTAGCACAAAAAGGCCACCATTTGGCCATTTTGAATAGGATCGTCAAACCAATATATCTGTTTATCTAGGACATGATGTATAATGAATATTTAAAATTTGAACATAATCAGTGAAAGCAAGTCAGATATATGGCACTAGAACCACATTCATTAATACAAAATGGCCGCCAGTCGGCCATTTTAAATCTTATCTGAAAAACAACATTTTTTGCATTAAGGTCCCATAATGTCTAATATATATACCAAGTTTGAACAAAATCCATCTGTAAACGACCAAGAAATGGTTGATTTTTAGCACAAAAATGGCCGCCATTCGGCCATCTTGAATCAGATCGTAAAACAAAATTATGTGCATCAAGATCCTATAATGTCTAATGTATATACCAAGTTTGAACAAAATCCATCTGTAAACAGCCGAGAAATGCTTGATTTTGTTGTTTTTTAGCACAAAAATGGCCGCCATTTGGCCATCTTGAATCAGATCATGAAACAAATTGACGTGCATATGTATAATATCATGTATGATGTATGTGTGAAGTTTGATTGTGATTGGTTCAGGCATTTCTAAGATACAGGTCCGGACGCACAGACGCACGCACGCACACACACATGCATGCACGCACACACACACGGAAGTCAAAACATAAGTCCCCATTTTCGGACTGCGTCCGAACGGGGACTAAAAATAGCTTTGGGTCATACTGGTATCGTGACCTGAGTGCATTTATTGTATGCCACATATATGTGATTAACATTGACTTCCCTTTCTGTCATG